GGTGTGAGAGGGTGACTTAGTGAGACCTTTGGCCCAGATTTATCGTACCTCTCTCGCATTGATCAGAAAACAGAGCCAAACTAGCCCTGTTCTAGAAGTGAGATGGCGTAAGAGGAGATGTGCCAAGGGTAATGGTAGGATGAGTTGGTGGTATTTTGCGGCAGCTGGGGTAGTGAGAGAAAGAGGTGGGTAAGAAAAGAAAGATGGTGTGTGAGTGTGAGAGAAAAGAGCTGTGTGAGTGAGGGGAAAAAAGAGAAACGGGGAGGTTATACCATTGCGAGGGCCAGAGCTCATCAACCAAACACACCTGGGGGAATTGCTTTACACAAAACCCCAGGTGTGTTTACGTATATGAAGACTGGTCACTCACGAATGGCAAAGTGAATTATGAAAAGCAGTGATTGGGGAAACTTGCCGCTTGCCAATTGTACCTTCAAACGTATTCCAGGGAGAAATCTCTCTTGGCAGCACACGTAGGCTTCAGGCCAAGGGCCCGTTTCCAGCTCTATGGGGGAGCTGTGTGCAGAATGGGAATTTGACAATAAGGGTAGAAAATAAGAGCGACTAACTCAGATAGTCCGATTTTGAGAATCTAGGACTTCAAATTATAATGCTTTGATAAATGTGTGCAGATGCAAAATGAAATGCCCAGTCTTCTGCTTCCGCTTCTTGTTGTTCGAAGCGGGTGTTGTGCAGGCGGGCTGAGAGGGAAGGAGCTGTGAAAAAGAGGCAGCTGCGACCGCGACACAACGACGCGTCGACGGTTTCGAAAGAGCTGGCTGGTGCGCAAGGTCTGCACTCGCAGGAAAAACCTTCGTCAAACAAGGTTTCATCTTGCACAGCTTGGAAATAATGAAATTTGAGACAGAAAAGTGTTTCGCTGGCTTGGTCAAGAAAAAGAAAGGAAACGCTTTCATCAACAGCTTCAATCGTGCGCTGCCTGTGCCCGACCCATGATCCACATGAGCTTCGCAGAATCGACAACGAATGAATCATCGCAACAAATTCAGCGATTGGAAAGAAAAGAAACTCGCCAACAGGTCAAGAAACATTTAAAAAGAATTTGATCCCACACAAAGAAAAACTGACCTTATCGGGGAGAAAAGCTTCGAAAAGGAAGAGAAAGAAAAGTTGAAAGAAAGTCGAGACGCAACAAGAAGAAAAATTCAGCACTTACTTGGATGCCCGATCTTCGCCTTCCTCATCCTCAATTACAGGAACTTCGACTTTCTCAGGCTCAGGTTCCCGCACCGGTTCGCGGATTGGAACTTCCTCTGTGGTGGCAGGCTCGTCGATGCCATTCACCTTGGGCGCCATGGGTTTTGGTGATGAGGTGACAGTGTCTGATGGGGCCTTGGGGGAAGAAATATTGGCTGTGGTAGGGGTTGGCGTGACGGCCAAGGGAGCTGAGGGAGCTGTCTCAACTGGAGTCAAGACAGCTGGGGGCGCGGGCGGGCTGGGGCCACCCTCGAGCTTTGGCGATGGAAGCTCAGCCATGGTTAAGGAAAGCTCGCGATGAGATGCGATACGATGCGATGGTTGATGGTTTATGTTGCGTTGGGTTTGGGGATGGTGGAATCGAGAAACCCCCCTGGTCCAAACTTAAGGTGCGTACCTTGCCAGGGCTGGTTCAATTTGGCTCCACCTGCGACCGGCGTAAACTGTACGTCGATGGTACGAGGAGCGCGATCGCGCGTCGGTTGTGGTTACAGTAATGGAAGCCTAGCGAAGCGAAGGACCAAAACACACCACCCTGCAGAAAAAAACAAAACCAAAGTGCTATTCAGGAATAAGAAAACACTGTCGCACGGACGAAAGAGCCACACTCCCGGTTCGTAAAATGTGAAACCGAGTGCGAAGCTAGCAATGACGCCGTGTGGATGACGACGATAATTATGAACTCGAGTTGCGAGCAAGGGAGGGAAAAAAACTGAAGCAAAAGAGAAAGGGGGAGAATAGATTGGGCGGATAAACCGGGACGCTCAAGTCTAAGTTGGCGGGTTCCCTGAACGGCTGTACCTTACTTACTATTAGTAAGTCGATGGGAGTTGCCTGGCTATACTTGGTTTAAAGGCCAGGCCAGGGTAAAGCGCAAGGCGAGTGATGTTTAGGGAAAGAGGAGGATGGGGAAAAGAAAGTATGAAAGAGAGATGATGGATGGTTGTTGCAAGGGGAGAAACCGGAATGTATGAGACGCCGAGGAAGGCAGAGAGGAGCGAGAGAGTGAGAGACAGGTTTTAGTTTCCAATTGAGGGAGAGCCCGCCAACTGATTAAAACGCGACTAATGGCTTGTGGTTGGCAAATCAATGCGACCTAAGGCAATCATCGTACCGGAAAATCACCCAATCAACAGCTTGCTTAGTGCCCAAGTACCCAGTCGACAGTCCCCATCTTTAAACTCTTCCTTGTCTTGCGATGATCGCCTTGCATTCAATTGCGCAACTGGACGGATTGCTGTCTGTCGAACCTACCAGCCAGTTACACATGCTGCAGCAAACCCTGGGTATACGAGCTAGAGTCGTGTTGACAGAGCACATTTGCGTCGTGCACCTTCTGCTTGCCAGGCGAATGGTTGGTTGTGAGAAGAAAAAAATACAAGCACGGCACTAGGAACATAGCAAAGGAACCCGGATTTGGGGATACGGCAGGTTTCATATCACTCCCCCCATAAACCTTACGGAGCAAGTAGTTACCGAAGTCGAGTTCGGTAATGTACAGCGACATTTGTAGTCAGTGTTGCTCGATGCCACAGGCGGCCGCTTCATTCAAACAGGTTGCTGCTTCGCTTGGGTGGTTTTGTGAGTTGTCAATCTGTAAGCTGTCGGTGGTCTGCATCACTGATTAATTAATTAATTACACACAAGCACTCTAATCCCCCCCGTAACACAACCCGATTTCGACACTCGCGCCATGGGCACATTGCAGGATTGCATATCGCCCCAATCCATACCAGAAGCAATGCGACACTGAGAACAATAGCAATGAAGCCGCCCCCAACAGCAAGGCCGCATCACCACTTTCGCACCTATAACATGTAGGGTAGAGTATGGAATCGAAACACCCGTGGGGTGCAGCACCGAGACCCAGATGGTAAGCAGGGAGGGTACCCACGGGCAATGTACTATTACACTCGCACTCAGGGGTGGATACGCCAAGCTGCGTTTGAGCGACGCCGTGACTTGGCTTTCTCTGGCTGATAGGAGACTTGGCCCGATGACCCCACCATTTATTGGACCTTTGCGCATCCTCGAGTTGCCTGAGCAGATCAGAGCAGCAAGCTCCCCCCCCCCCCATGTCGCGCCACAACGATGGGGGTTGAGGCCACGTCTTTCGAGCTGCGAGTTCCACGACAGCCAGAACCACCGACTCAAGGTCTTGAGAGGCGGAAACAAAGGCGGGCATGGCGCAGAGTCGAGATGAGACCTCGCTGTGTCTGGGGTTTGCTGCCCGCAACGTAGGACTGGCGTCGGCTTCTTCGTGTTTCCAAGGACTTGTCGGCATAAACTCCCCTGTACGGACGGGATATGGGCTGATTGATTGGGGTGGTCACACCCACTGCACGCATGCACACTATTTAGTTTAATCCATGAGCAAATCCCAATTATTTTAGCGACCATCCATCATCCAATCTAGCGCGGCCAGAATGACTGCTTGGAACGAAGAACATGCCTTTTTTCCCGTTAGCAGCGCCAACCTCGAAACGTCCCCTCCGAGGGTTGGCAATCTTTTCGACTCTAGTTCCGCCTCACACCATCAACAAATCGCGTCGGGCCTAATTTACCTGTACAACCAACCCAAGTACCTCGTAGAGACTGACGTGTGTCACCACCGTACCCGAGAGGTAGACATGGTATCTGCACTTCTATCCATTGCCGCTTATCACGAGGAAATAAGTTGTCACCATTACATAATGATACATAGTTGGTAATTTCAAACCACCAACAGTTCCATTTTATCGTTTTATCCTTGTTGAGGTGCGCGCAAATTTACTTTTTCCTCTCACGTCGAAGGGCCAACAGAAAATTGGAGGGTTCCTGATCCAGGGCTCTGTTCGCGTCAACACACCAGAAGTGGTATGAATAAACTCATAGGCAGTGTTCTCGTCTGAGCATTGAATGCGCACAATTCTGAGTCACATTGCCATTCCTTCTTTTTCTCTAGGAGGGTGGCAAATCCTACATATGGCCGGGCCAGTCAACGTCAGCTCCCGTCCAGGTTGAGTTACCAGTCAGTCGGGTGGGTGACATGCAATTGACTCACTAAAGCACTATCTATGCTATCATGATTTTTCTTGAGGTTGCGGCCCACACGTAATGATCACAAGAAGAAGAGAGAGAGAAACAACACTAGGAAATCACATTGATTGTTTGTCTTGGGCCCATGTATCATTGCAGGTTTCTTTTTAATTGTCTGGAATCTTCGTCAGCGCGAGGGCTGTTGTGAAAAAGCCTTCAATTAGGTGTGACGACTTCCGGGTCATCCACTTACGAGGTTCAGCTGCAGACGCGACTGGCAATAGTAGGCAGTGCGGAGGTAGCCGCAAAGCTAACCGCAAAAGAAAATTACGACCAGGGATTTCCGACAGGCCATGAATGCACGCTGACGAGGGTCGGAGTGTCAGACATCTGACAACTTTATGCCGTTTACTTGTGCTTTTGCGAGTCTCCGAAAAGATGCCTGCCCAAGCTTACAGTATCATACGGTGCAGAGAAACTGATTTGGCATCCACGCGACTCGGAACATCAATTGCGCAATTCATACTACTGCTGTTTTTTATTAGGAGCCGGGACAAGCGCGGGATGCACATTATCTGGGCATGCAGGCCTAGAACACGAGAGGTGGAGAAACTCAATTATCTGAGGATGTCATCAAGTTTCGGAGTCCATCTATTTGGAGCTTTGGCTCTTAGCCAACTCTTGATGCAAATTCGTGTCGCATTCAGTAGAACTCGCTAACACATGTGTTGACTGCTAGTTTCGGGCCATTGATAGAGTTCTTCTTACCTCCGTCCTCTTCCGCGGCCACGGCCACGTCCACCACGTCCACCACGGCCGCCCTTGCCCCCTCTATATCTGCCCCGAGGGTTGTCAAATCTCTCGTAGACCTTCTCTTCACCAAACGCTCCTTCGCCAAACCTCATAAAGTTGACCAGGCCTCGGTCCACAATCGCGACAAGTACGTTGCGGTGCCCCCACTTCAATCTCTGATACACCCTCCCGGGACCCTGCCACGCTGGGTTCGGAGGATCATATGGCGTAGACTCGAGCAGCGATTCAATCTGTGCCAGGTCCGGAACAAAGGTATCGCTTGTATCCGTCACCGCAATGCGGAAATCTGGGGGAGGGGGGTTGCGCTTTGAGAAGGGAGCACCTCCCGATTTCCAGACATGGTAAAATATCTTGAACGGATCTTGTGGCTCAGTGCTTTCAGCTGGCGTGGGAGAAGGCTTGTGCCGGGGAATGATGGCAAGCTGTTGGTAAATAGAATGATATGACCTGTAAAGACCAGGGGCTACTAGAGGTCCTTGTGAGTTGACCTTGGGTTCCTGTCGCAAACTCAGAAATGAGAAGAGCGATTGCCAGAGGGAAAACCCATACCAGGAGGGTGAGACAACTCGGGATTCACTTGGAAGTTCCGGATTCTGCGGTGCCCGTAGGATATTGAAGCCCCCTCTTTTGAGATGTGTGAAGACGTGGTACTTGGAAAATGTCGTTTTACCTCGCTCACCCTCGAATCCAACGAGCAACGTGTAGGCAGCCTCCAGGGTTAGAGGCAGGCCCGCCTCATAGTCGTCTGGCCCAAAGCTTTGTTGCGCTTCCGAGCCCGAAGGTTTGGGCAGAAGCTCCTCAAACGACTTGTTCGGCCACCACAGGTCGATCGTGCCTCTCTCGACGAGGTATAGAGCCTCCTCCGGTAACAGCCACAGCCTACCCGCCCCATGCGCATCTTTGCTAGACGGACACGACCGGCCAATGTCCTTCATCCAGTTTCCCTTCTCGTGCTCTACCACGACGACCCGTTCCCTCAACAGTATGTCGTCGTCCTCACCCTCGAGCTCGGCAAACCGGTCCGGGAAGTACCACGCCCTCACCCAGGCATCGCGGCGGTGTATCCTCGTGTAGCCGAGAACCTCCTCCATGGCCTGCCGGCTCGCCTCCAGGACCTTGTCCTGCGCCTGGGTGCCGTGTGACTCAAAGTCCTTCTCGCCCTTGCGAATCGTCTTGCCGGATATGCCCTTCTTCGAGAACATGGAACTCAGCTTTGTGAAATCGGCGACTCCGTCTTCCATTTCTTCCTCGAGCGTTGGCGCATCCTCGCTGCCGGCGGCGGGCTGCCTCGAGGCCGTCGGAACATCGTCATCGTCGAAGGCCATTGTGCCGATGCTCCATGCGCGGGGATTGATTTCGGTTCAAACCTCCTAATTTTTGCTGTTTATGGAAGCGGAATAGAGGAATATAAATCCAAATTGGTGTCTGGTATTGGGCCCAAGGGTTTGGATCAATTGCCCCAGCTTGAAAGAAAATCTTTGAGAGGGGTTCAATCAATCTTTCGCATCAATGCCGTGAAATTTCACGATTAGATCTACGTGGGGTTGCCATTACCCTATAGCTTCCTAATTTTTGCCTCGAAGACCACCTATTGCGAGTTTGGCCGAGTGGTTAAGGCGTTGTGTTTAGGCTTCCTCCAGTTCCCTGGTCACTGTCATCCGCAATGTAGCAATACGCGCAGGTTCGATCCCTGCAGCTCGCATTTTTGTGTCCTTTTTTGCTCGATTGTTTTGTTCACTGCAATGTTTTGAAAGTATTTTATTGCAAGCGTGGGGCATGGAAACGTGCGGGGCTTTTTGATATTCTTATCGCATGGGCACATGTCTTCCCAAGCTTGATGTACAATTCCCACCTATATGAAGCTAAATATACATTTAAATTGACCCTACATGGTTTATGTACATGCTTATCATAATCCAAGCACTACAATAATATCACGGAACAAACGGGATAGCAAGAATGTCTTGTGTAACTTCGTAACTGCAAGTCGTCCGCTATACCCCGCATCACAACTGGTCCAAAAAGCCAACAGGGGAATACCCGCCTCTGATCGTTCACTCCAATCCGACGCCAGTGCAATGCCCTTCTCCTCGTTAAATAATCGATGCCCCTAAACGCCTTATCCGTCATGCCATGTACTCAAAGCAGAGCCCTGCCTTGCCCCGTTAGCTTGCTTCCTCTCCAGGGGTATCTGTCACCACGTTGCCTCGGGAATCCTCGTGTCATCCTTGGCTCGACTCCTCGAGCGGCCTAACAGCCATTCTCTATCCTGCTACAACTGACTGGAACCGAAAGCAACTGCGGCCCTCGTCGTTGTTATGCTTTAGGTGTGTGAGTCGTGTATGGCGGCATGTGGACTGGGTGATGGATGAGTAGGTGTGACTTCAACCATGATGTCCGCATATCGCTGTAGCCCAGCGCGAGTGGCGCACCGCTCGGGGGCCAAGCACAAGGAGGTAATAACTCAGACCATCTGCCTCTCGTCATCACTCAATAAGCGGCTTTTTCTGACCTCCAACCATACACAACCCCAGCGCTCGTAATGAGTCACGATCGCTAGCTAGAATGATAGAATGTGCGGGAAGCATTGGGTTGTTGGGGTCAACGTGAGACGCATCCTTGGCGGATTGCTCAATTGCGTCCATCTCTTCCTTGCAGCCCTGCTTGTCGAGTGGACATATTACAATAGGCTGTCGCAAGCTTACGTCGCGGGCACCACTGAGCTGGACCTGTTTAATGTCAATAAAAACTTCCCCGAACCGATCAGGGATACAAGCCCCTCCCACCTTAATATTTATGTAAAATTCAATTTTGTACAACGTCGACGTTGTAGTGAAAGACGTCACTTCATACATGGGGAAAGCGGACTTCCCTCGCTTGACGATGCCGTCCGGGTCTCGGAGATCTTTGGAGGGGAAGCAAAGCCCCATGTTCGTCGCATACCCAGCTTCTGGGAGCTTGGTCTTGACCTTTTGGACTTGTTTCGATATCTTGTTGACCTTCTTCGTCGGCTCGTCGCCCTCGGGGTTGTAGGTTATCTCCTCTTCAATCAACAGAGTGATTGAATCGATGGTGACCCGCTTCGCCTTACTTAACCAGTCTGGATTCGGGGACACTTTAATGTATACAGTAATGGGATCATTCGGCCCGTAACTCCATTTTGGAAGATTAATACCAAGATGGACGATGTTGTCGGCCGTTATCAGCTTCGTCTCGGGTTTATTGTACATGCCAAATGTGGAGAGGGTGTCGTATCGTTGGAGGGGCATGGGGAAGGTGTATTTGTACTGATTACTGTGGCCTTGCTGGACAGTTACCACCAGCTCGTAGTAGGTCTCGGCGATTCGGTTTGGGAGTTGAAGCGAAGCTGGTGGGATCCGGCGGTTGGTCTCCTCGCCGCCCCGCCCGAAGGGAATAAATAATACGAAGGGGAGGTCCATCGCAATGACGCTCTCAGCCTCCTTGCCCGAGGCGCATCGGAAGAGCAGCACCTCCTTCCCCACCACATCTGCGGCCTCTCTCCTCGGCGCGCCAAGGTGACGCTTGGCTAGGTTGTCGGCGTCGGGGTGGATGGTTTCGCGGCGTTGTAGACATATTCGAACTAATGAAACGGGGACTGGCATGGAAAAGCCGACACCAGGCCGGATCTCGACTTTCCCTTCGATGCGCGGCTATGGAGTTGTGATGGGTCAGCACATGGAACCCCGCGGGACGGTCGCTAACACCCAAGGAGGACCGGGACGGAGAGGCGACGAGCTGCCTGGGAGGACTTACCAAGGTCGCCGAGATGCCAGGATACCCAACAAGAAAGCTGCTGTTGGGGGGCCCAGAGACTCTGACGGTGGCCGCGGAGCCGGCTATATTGGCCATAGCCATTCTGTGTGTGTGCTGCTAGCCCAGGAGGGCATCCAGCAAGCTATACAAGCTTGTCGCTGGGATGGAGGAGGAAAGAAGTTGCAATAATTGCTTTCCAGATTGTTCCGGACGTCTTCATATGCTTCTCGGTTCTGTGGTGTTTGGCGTGGTGGCTCGCGGAGTTGGTGGGATTGGTGCTGTCGCCTGCGTCAGATTAGATAGAGGTGGCGTTGGAATCGTCGGGATGCACGCGGCGGCTGTCGTCGAGCTTGTGGCAGAGGCTACGGGATGATGGTGTCATCACAATTCTGGGGTACAAGACATAGGTCCCATTGACTGGCAGCGCTGGCAGAGGAGCGGCAGAAACCGCACAGCAGTATGGTCGGGAGCAATTTTGGATGCGACAGGCTGGATTCTTGGTGAGAGTGAGCAGGCGTGCGGCGGCGGTGGTGGCAGCAGCATGGAGTCCTACAAGGTGCAAGGTAGTGGTCCTAATAGTGGTGTTGCGGCTGCTGTTGGTGGCTGACACTACCCGATGAGGCTGGTACTGTGGAGAATCAGTGCGGTCTGGTCCCCTCGGCCGCTGCTGGGCTGATGCTGGGCCTGGAGGTACTGGTGCGCACTTGGGGCTCGCGTGGGATGTTTCAGTACGGAGATGGATCGCGGAGCTGGAGTTTGGAATCTTGGGCTTGGTCGATTATTGCCGGCGGTAGGTAAGGCGACACCCGCATGCACACGCACGCACACACACACCGGCGGAGGTGCTGGGAGCCTTATTGATTGACTAAGGTACCAAGGGTCTCGTGAGATTTCGCTCATTTCAGTCAGCCAGTTGGTGACTTTGGTGGGCTGCGGGGAAATGTATCCTGTACATACGCGGTGTTTAAGCCTTTAAGGTGTGGTGGGTGTTCCTCAGCTGGTCGTAGCGCGTACCCAATTGCCTGGACCAGCAAGAATTACTGGCGCTGATTGCGCTGGATCCGGCCGCTATGAATGGCTCTCCGCTCGCCCTACGAGAGGGGCTGACAAGCTGAAAACTTGAATGGACAACGCACTGCTGTCCAGTCAGACGTACATGAGCTCATGGCGAGCAACTTGTGCGTCCCTGGCGGCCTCAGTACAGGGTTTCTCTGTGAGCCAACGCCTTACCGCGGCCAGCTGCTCACCCTGCGATTTACAGCAAACCCCGGTTTTACACCCCACTGTCAAAGGTACATTGCATGCCATGTACATTCGTACATCTAGAGGATTCTTCAATGCGCGGTGGGCCCAGCAGGGAATCCGCAAATACTTGAAACTCGGCCGATGCTGCGCCAATTTGCCCACATCAGTCAGCATTCTACCAGGTGTTCATGTATGTCTGCGCACCGAAATTGCCCATGGTCACTGGCTCGGGATGCAACCATTTGTTCCAACAAGGTTTTTTTGCCCGTGGTACCCTCCATGGATGGTACGGTAGCCTGGGCGGTTAAGTATTGCTACCACACCTTTCAAGACAGACCGAAGTACCTGTGGTCTTTGGTTGTCAGAACCAAGCACTGCATGACATCGGTCCAGATAACACCTTATGATGACCACCAGGTCTGACGGGGTCCAATATTGCTTCTGCTTGGGGTCCAGACCGACATGCCAACGAGCGCCGGTCCCAGTCCAGAGCTGTCAGTGTCCGGTATGTGATGTCTCCATGCTACTACCATGGCGACGCTGTGTAACAGACAGGCCAGCTTGGGCAGAGATGGAGGGACCGATCTTGTCTTGGCATCCCTTCTCCGGCTGGGAGCAGAATGTGAGACTCTTTTTGGACCCATGCCAGAATAGGGCAGACCGGCTACCTAGTCATGAGATGCCCAGGCCAACCTTATCGTACCCAGCCGGTGCCAAGGAGAGCAGTTCCTGGCTGGAAACACTGATCCTCCGCCGCTCGATCGGCGACCCGTGCCAGACCCACTCCCACGCGTGTGTCTTCTCCATGATCGATCCATCTTTCCCACTATCATTCCATTCTTCGCCTGTGGTCGAGACAGACGACACCTCGTGTTGCCAGTACGACGTCACTGCCTTGACGACTCACGCGAGGTGCAACCCCGCTTCCCGAGAAGCTCGAACTGGATCCCCGCCGGATTTGAAAGCAACAAGCGAAAAAATCCTCAGCGCCCGTCACGCCTCCGGCACTAGGCAACATGTCCGTCACCTTGCACACCACCCACGGGGACCTCAAAATCGAAGTGTTCTGTGAGAGCGTCCCCAAGACCGCAGAGGTGAGTAGAATACATACCGCACGGTGCCTAAGGCTCGCGCCATCAACCGGAGCGAGCGTCGCGCTAACCACGTTGCCCAGAACTTCCTCGCCCTCTGCGCCTCCGGATACTACGACAAGTCCCCCTTCCACCGCCTCATCCCCAAGTTCATGGTCCAGACGGGTGGCCCAGCGACCCCGACGCCCGAGAACCCCAAGGGCGGCAAGTCCATCTGGGGCGGCAACTTCGAGGACGAGATCCGGCCCGCCCTGCGCCACGGCGCGCGCGGGATGGTGTCCATGGCGAACAAAGGACCCGGCACCAACGGCTCCCAGTTCTTCATCACATTTGACAAGGCCCCCCACCTGGATGGGCTCAACACCGTGTTTGGGAAGGTGATTGGCGACGACGGCATCGCCACGCTGGCCAAGATGGAGGCCGTCGAGGTCGACAGGAAGAGCCGGCCCAGAGAGCCGTTCTGCATCGAGAGCATCACGATACACGCGAACCCCCTGGCTGGCTGAAGTGTTTCACAACCGGATTGTTGTGGGAGCTACGGGCTAGTTCACTAACCTGCATTTTGCCTCCAGCGGTTGCCACATTGGTCCCCAAGAGACACTCGTATGTATCCGTGTGGCGGCCTGTGAACTGTACCGTGGACCGAACTTGGTGCGATGGCCACCCATAATAGTCTCTGGAGCCGCCCATACCTGGATGCGGCCACGTCGGACAAAGATCCTGGTCTGTGATCGATATCTCGCTTCACCAACCGCAAGAAGGTGGTTTGAATGCGACACTACCTGAGGTCGAGCCTTAACACACCAGGGAACTCTGAGCCCTTTAAAGGGAGGTATCTACCTCTTTGGACTTATTGGAATCCAAACAACTAGTAATGTGGTCCCGGAAGCAATAGGAACGTAGTGTAACGCAGGTTAGCTACCCCCACGGCAGCTGTCTTTCAACTATAGAGCTTCAGCTTATATATTAAGTATTCGAGGAAGATAGCTTAGGATGCGAGTTGTATATTATGCGTGTCTTGACTTTGCGGATGAATATTTAGCTATGGCTGGGTATGTGGTTTCTATGGATGAGTTGGCCTCATAACCCACAGGGTAAGGAAATGCCAAGATGTAGGGAGTGAAACGTGAAGTCACCGAACTTATACTAAGAATGGCCACATCTGATGATTTGGTAAATGGTTTATACGTAGACAAGTACGTAAGGCACATAGTAGGTATTTATATTTTGTTGTATACCAATTTAGTGATTCTTGGTTCATATCCTCATTCCAACTATCAACTACCTAGTCGATAAATATGTAAAAAGTTCGCAAAAAGCCTCCCAATTTGGACTAGAAGTCGGTTCCCAACTGCGGGATGCGCGTAAACAGTCTGCATCCCATTCATTTACTTGTCGCTCAGAAAACGTGAAACTCCGAACCCCCCCTTCAACTGCCACCGGACGAACACCTGCTGATCTAGTGTAATGTGCTATCCTTATTTCCCAAGTATGATACCAATGAACCCCTCAAAACGCCACCGCCTTATTTACCGTCCCCGTCCTTTATGATTTGAACCGGGGACCATGGAGTCTTCGTGTTATGCAAAATGAACATTTATCAACCGACGCGTCTTCTTTTCATTCCGCGAGTGTCCTGCCCCAAGTCTTCTCTGGTAATCTCTTCTGTCCCAGTTGGACTGGGCGTGTTGAATTCACCGTTTGCTGCGTTGACATGATCTGTCGCGCCGGCCATATTGGGAGGTCCGCCGCCAGTGAAATCAATATTGAAGTCGCTACCGGTGCCGCCAAATGTAACAGAATCATCCAGGTGGTTGTCAAAGTTGAAGTATTGGTCAAAGTCCACATGGTTGGCATCGAAGTACGTTTCAGGGACGTCTTCAGTCACTGGAATACGACCTGAAGGACTCAAGGGACCCAGGATGTTGCTCAGTTCGGTAATCTTCTGATCCTGTTGATGCTGAAGACGTTCTAATTGGTCCAGCTCTTCCTGATTCGCGCTTATCTGATTCATCGGGAGTTGGGGCATGGCAGCTGATTTCATGATAGGAGATAGTGACGGTGCTGCCGAGAGGTCTGCAGGAGGGGGCGAGTACTTGGGCTGTTTGGGCTTTGGAGCGGGCTGCGGTGGTTGCGTTGGTGCGACGGGGGCCGGAGGCACCGAGTTTGGTGCACTCACTGAAGCCGATTTAGACTGGCGCGCCATGAAATTGGCCAGCTTGTTCCGTTGTTCTTGGTCCAATGAGTTGGGCGCGCTTGCAACAAATTCAGCCGCTTGCGGGAGATCCATGCCCGATGAGTTGTTCGCGTTGTGATCATTGATTATGCGCATCATCCGTTCCTGAGGGTTGCTCTCTAGTTCTTGCCGTATGTTGGGTGGTGTATCGGCCGCTGGAGAGCCATCGACGAGTTCGGTGATGTGGCCCATTTCCTGATTTTGGTACGATGGCCTTCCTGTAGTAGGTGCAGGTCTGGCTGGGCGGGAGGCTACGTTCTGGGAAGGGATGGGTGGTAGGAGGCCACGCGTTCTCTTTTGCGGATGGCCTCCTACTCCCACTCCAAGTGCGGCTGAAGCATCTGCGTTGTTCTGGAAAAAGTCGCCCAAATCTACCACGCTCCCTTGTTGGGCTGACTGTTGACCCTGGCTTGCGATCATGCTAGAGATGATATCACTGACACTCTGCGTGTTACCCTGCTCTTCTAAAGACTTTCTGAATAAGTTTGCTAGAAAGCTCAGTATCGCGTTGATCGAGTTCTGATGCCTGTCATGCTGGCTCTGGAAGAGCATGGCCTGGTTGTATAAATCTTGATTGTTTTGCTGTAGGCGATTAATAGTTCGAGCGATCACTTTCTGCTGCTCCCTAACCTTGTTGATCTCGTCTCTTATGACCGCCATTTCCTTTCTGGCGACAGATTGGTTTTCCGTTGATGGCAGAGACCTGGTGTTCTGGGTACCAGGCAGAGCTTGCCCTGGTCCGATGTTGTCCTCGTTGGGCCCCTCGTCATCGCTGTCGACTTCTCCCTCGTTCGACTTGGTGGGTTTTTTCCCAGTGGCCTTGCCCCCCTTGGGCTTATTGATCAGCCACAAGAGGTTGGGATGCCCTCGCCGGAAATAAGGATTGTAATATTCGCTTGGACTTTTGTTCTTCCTCTCACTGGCTCGCATGGAGTTGTCAGATAGTCCAACGCGCTTGTGGAACCCGTACATGTTGAGTTGTCGCACAAAGGAGGCATAGTTGTTGTGTTTGAAAAGTTCGGGGATCAGGGTCTTCGCGAATTCGTCCTCATCAAGCACGATGAATGAGTCTCCCTTTTCCGACCATCTGATGAGATCCTCGTTCTTGCCTTCTTCCAAAAAACTATCGACGATATATTGTTAGAAAATGAAAACGGAACACAGCGAATGAGCGGTCAGCCAAAAGAACATACCTGCTGAGTTTCTGTACAAAAGGAGGAATCTGCTTCCTCTTCCCTTGCGCCTCTCTCTTCGCTTTTGAAGCCTGCTCCTCCAGAGCGTCGATATTGTCTTGCTCGGATACACCGTCCTCTTGAGGCACAAGCGAGGATTCATCTCCAACGAAGCTGTTCCAGTTGATGGGGGTATCGAAGTTTGCGCGTTGAGTTGTGGGCACCAAGGCTTGATTCATCGGTCGCCTAGCTAATGAATTGTTTGCGGTCGCAGCGTTCTGTGTATATTGATGCTGGTTTTGAAGAAGATCGTAAGAATTAACACCATTGCCGGTAGCGTCGGCGAAGCCGTCCAGGCCATCTGGGCCGCCACTCCATTTCACCATCTGCTCCCCCATCATATTGTTGGTCGCGAATGGCTGCTGGATAGATTGTTGCATCGGAACGACGGGGTTGGCCCCAGGAGCAGCCCGTTTTCTTGGGTTGGTGCCAGACATAGACAGCGGCTCTTCGGCGGGCACGGCGCGCTCGGAGTGTGGGAAGACGGTTAGGCGCGTAGTGATGAAAACTGGCTAGATCTTGACCTTGAGTGGATGCGAGGAGTGAACTGCGGCTGAGCTGGCGGCTGCTCCAGCCTGCCTTTTAGATGCGAAATCTCTGCCTCGTGGATCGGCGGTCGGGCTTGGGTCGCTATACTGAGGATAGGATAAGGCGGGTTTTTCAACAGCGCAGGGCTTTTCGGTCCTTGTTCTTTCCTTGGGAGAATTCGTAGGAGAAGAGAGGTGAGAAAATAACTAGAAGCGTGGAGGTTGCTATTGATAGAGGTGTCGCACCCTGGCTAAAACCAAGAAGCTAAGGACCTGAGCAACGTTTTGGTCCTTCGTCGCGTATTCGTGAACAAGCGGTTGAATTGGAGCTCGTAGAGATTGGAGCGTGAAGATGTTGTGATTAAGCGAAAGTTGGCGATATCGAAATATATGTAGACCGTGCCTTCGCGTAAAAAAATCCGGGCGGTTCGCGGACTGTGTATCGAGATGAATGTAGTATGTACGTTGCGGTGGTTCAGCCTTGGATCCGCGGGGAGATGTTACTTCTGGGCCCCGCTAAATTATAATCTCTTTGAAAAGCTGGGAAAAAATTGTCACCGAGGCGATAACGCGGCAACTGCGAATAGAAAAACAGAAGAAATGCAGACTTGCAGCAGACAAAGCATACGGGAGCCTGAGAGAGTTGTCGGGAGGAAAGTCACAGTATGCTCCTAGCCGAATTGCATGTCGTAATTCCCTGTTGGAACCCAAAGTGCTTTTTGCAAGGTGGAGTTCCGCCAACTCGCCTTAGGCAGATAATCAATTGTCATCCCGCGCTAAGGCTGGGGAGCAGAACAGACCGTCTCAGTCAGTACTTTGTCAGAATCCCCGATCTAGAGTCAGATGTTGGTGATAAACTGCCAGGTTACGTATCACTGCATGCCCCTCCATCAAAGCTACATACGAGAGATATGCCATTTCCAGTCAAGGGCAGAATGAGACAATGTCGGAGTAAAGTGACTGCGTTTGCTCTCTCCCAACGGTCTCCACTAACTTAGCGAGTACCTGGCCTGCTACGGCTGCTAATGCTAGCACCATGCAGATGCCCCTGGCCTAACATCCACGCACTCACTGGTACTTTGATTATGTCAGACCTTCCGTTTCTGAGTCTTCGATAGCGTCGCTAGTAAAATAGTTAATTCTTGGAGTAGCGCCTGGATAGCAAGTTCACAGGAAGGTGACGTCTTTTGGGACTAAGGCGGACGGTTCGACGTTGAGGCTGGTGCTCCGCTCAACCACTTTATGACGATGCAATGCCCAGCCCACCTCGTGAAAGACTACAGAGAGACTGGGTTTGAAAGTGAAACTGGGGATCGTAAGTGTCTTGTACGTTATCGAGTTCGGAATAGGGAAAGAAGTTCATTCGTTGGGGTATAGAATCAAAATGGCCTCATAAATCAGAACATACAGATGTTAGGCAATTAAGAAGTCAATTGGCTCAGCCAGATATTCGAGATAATCAAAACTCTAGGCTGGCATTCTCCCTCAGTTTCCTAATGCGACTTATCTTG